TCTCTCTCTCTCTCTCTCTCTCTCTCTCTCTCTCTCTCTCTCTCTCTCTCTCTCTCTCTCTCTCTCTCTCTCTCTCAACCTCGCTTGACCTCGGTAGTAGCACAAGACTGCAACAGCGCTCCCACAGCAAACTTGAACGGTAGAGTACCCAATTAAAGACGGGAGGCAAAAATTTGGCACCAACAAGCCCTTAGGTCATACCAGAAAAAAGATTGTCACTTTGCAGCCTCGCTGGGGACTTTGTGCTTTGCTTCAGGTTCTAATCTGGGACTTCTCTGGACCGGTACCTGTCTGTGCCGGCCACAGATTCCTCAGACTTTCATGGGACTGAGCTCCTGTCTGGTTCATGGGACTGACCGACTGGCTGGACTAACACTGGGCTGAGACACCTGCCGGGTCCTAATGGGCCTGTACTGCATTTGACCCGAGTATCCTTCCTGTATCGCAAGGTACTGTGGTACATGGGACACTGGGACTTGAGGAATGGTACTGGGTCATAAATGGTGAGACACGTGAGATCTTGGACTGGTACTGGGTCTTATATGGTGAGACACGTGAGACCGTGTAATTGCCAGATTCGGCGATTTTGCATAATATCTCAGAATTGCTGATTATGTTCCGGAGTCAATTGTGTTCACTTTTTACGAGTTTATGAGTGAAAATGACGCAGGGTTTGGCATATCCTGCGAACGAGGGTTTGAATCTTTGTATCAGAAAAAAATCATCTGAAGAATGCTAATGGCTGAGCTTGTGGTATTCGATATGGGTGTATTAAACACACCAGCCTAAGTTGACAAAAAGCTAGCTTCCAATGAGCGTGGCGTATCTCGCGAACGAGGGTTAGAGTCTTTGTATCAGAAAAAAATAATCTGAAAGAATGCTACTGACTGCGCTTGTTGTTTTCAATATGGGTGTATAATATACCGTGTATTAACTAGGCTGTTTTTCCAGGCACCCGGGCACCAATTAATGCCCGGATACACGTCCGGGTGCCTGGCAGGGCCTGACCCCCGGGCAGCACTCCGGGCAGTCCCAGCAACACCCCCCCCCCCCCCAAAAAAAAAAAAAAAAAAAAGCTCGAAAAATTAATAATTATGGAAAACATATATGCCTTGTGGAATTGCAATACAATCGACTTTTGTTTGAGGGTCACAGCAGAATTCCAAGTATTGGAGATAATTTTTTTTTTTTTTTTAAATATTTTTTAGAGTGCAGGAAAAAATATGTTTAAAAAAAAAAAAAAAAAAAAAGCATGCCTGGGTTGGGTTTCATGCCCGAGCCTGGCCGGGCCTGACAAATTAGTGTATTATAAACCACCAGTTGACGATCACAATCACAAGCCTAAGCTGATGAAGCTAGCTTCCAAAATTTGCGCGCCTGCAACTGCCGTTTTCTTCAATGTGGCCTCCTGTTTCACTTATGAGCCTGGCCACATCGAAAAGCTCTTAGGATACTCGAGTTCGATCCGGGCCCCATTTGGCCCTGGGCGTGAGTAAGAGGCTGGGGATTGATAACTGAACCTATGCAGGCTCATGTGAACTTGTGGTTTAATAACTGAGCGTGTGCCTGGGAACTGATTTTCAACGCAAATTTAAATAATGCAGAATAAGTTCGTACATAGATGAGCAGCCCTCAAAATTGGCATCAAAATGGGCTTCAAAATGGGCTTCAAAATGGGCATCAAAATGGGCATCAAAATGGGCTTGATGCTAGTTGACAGTGTGTCTGCCAAATCTTATTTCTTGTGCGCGTCCTTCGTCGTGGTTTTTTATCTGTAGGGATCCCAACGACGGTGGACTATCACAAGCTTATCTTGGAAATCCAGGTTGGTTGTCGCTGTCTCCTTTTCCTGGCAATGATGGGCTTCCAACCGGTAGTGGTGCGAGTACACAGTGCATCCGGCCACGGCGCGAATGACGTCATTTTGAATGACGATGGCATAGGCAGGGAAAGCTCTAGGTTGCTTGCTTGCCTTAATGAACGGATGTGGTGATTGTGTTGTCAATTTGTTTTCCTTTTTTTTGATTTTTTTTCCTTTTTATTTTTCCCCTCTTTTTTCCCTTTTTATCCCCTCCCTTTTTTTCCCTTTTTTTTTAAGAGCCTGTTTTCCTTTCTTTTTTTTTTCAATTTTGTAGAAGTCATGTTGTTTTTTTTTTCCCTTTGGAGGGGGTGGGCGTCCAGATCGTATGCCAAGGTTCTAAAGCAAGCAATCAGTGATCGAGCAATTACAACCAGGAGGTGGGCTTGGAAGCAGCCATCCTTTTGAAGAATGCGTAATAGCTCACTGGTACTGTGAGTATGTTGCATTGTTGCGTGAACACTGAACAGGTAGTCTTCTCGGTTTGGCAGGGAAGGCCATTGAATCATAACAAGTATAATCATAACAAGTATAGAATGCAATCACATTAGGCTGTGTTTTTGTTTTTTGTTTTTTGGACCATTTCCTAGCCTTGTTGTTATTGTACAGCTTGCTTGTCCGTTCGACTCTGATTTCAGCTTCCATCATTCCCGTTGCTTCTTCCCACAACTCCGTATCAGTTATTTTCTTGCTTCTTTTTGTTCCCACACATCTGGCTCTCCAGATTACCCATATGGTTGTTTTCCTTAATGGCTCTATAATCGATCTGTCCTCTTCTGAGATTAGGTTCTCTCTCTCTCTCTCTCTCTCTCTCTCTCTCTCTCTCTCTCTCTCTCTGTGTTTTTCAAATGCAGGCTGTCTTCTCCTCATCGGGGGACAGCTGCAGAAGACAGCTGCATTTACCATTCTATTTTCCTCTCTCGTCATTTTTTTAACCTCACACTACCAAATATACACCAGGCCAAGGAGACAATCCTAATGGTTATGGGTCTACAAAACACTGCCTACTTTGCAGCAATCATCTCTAAGTTCCTTACGCCTGGCGGCGGCTGGAAAGTGCCTAAATCACTTCCACAACCAGCCAGGAGGCCTAAGCCAACTATCTCCTGCTGGTGAACGCGAAGCATACCCCAGGAGGCCATGGGGGATAGAAAGGCCGACATTGGGTATCGAACCCACGACCTCCCTAGGGCCACTGACGTGCTCAACCAACTGAGCTAGCCCGTTCTAGCTATCGATACTGTTAAGAGGAAGGGAAAACCTGATGGGTTTTCAAAAGACGACAGGCTGTATGCGTTCACTGTAAGACAGGTTGCGAGGTGCCGAAGTGGGCTATTTGTTGAGGCCATGCGAGGTGCCCAAGCGGGCTATCTCAGTTGGTTGAGTACGTAAGTGGCGCTCAGGAGGTCGTGGGTTCGATACCCAGCGTCGGCCTCTCTATCCCCGCAATCGGCTGGGGGTATGCTTCGGATTCACCTTCGTAGACGGAGTCCTCTGCGATCTTAGAAACAAGTCGTGTCCCTTCCACACCATACAGCTTGCCACCAGAGATCAGATTCTGTCCCTACAGATCCAACCTTCAACCGGATGTATTGCGGGCCCACTCTAAGCAGCTTTGTCCCCCAACCATGACGTAGCAGATCCCTAGCCGATCCCCCCTCGCACAGGTGTAGAGGGCTTACCTTCCTCCTATTAATGTACAGTACACCCCCCCCTGACCCACCTACCCTACCGACTACTCAGGTCAGTACAAGTCCTACCTCGAGCTACACTTTATCGGCATCCTCTTTACTAGTCCCTCCAGCCCCTATACCCATCTCATAGCCTACACTTGCTTGGTCCCTGGTGGGCCTGAGGACCCTGATGACGGGGCTATGAGGGTACCCCAATGTCTATACACAGCCTAGAGATGACCAGCCAGCCAGGTGGTCCTAAGTCATGAGACGAGCATCAACTCACACCTGCTGGTCATCAGGCAGACTCTCACTACCCCAGGTAGGATTTCTACCTACGATGTGATGTCTTACCTGCTCATGGGGTCTCCTTTGTATGCGAGCCAACCATTCCCGGCAATGGTGAACTACCCATTAAGCAGCCCGAACCGTTCAGCCCTACCTACCACAAGGTTCCTACACCCACACACACCCCAGAGATGAGACATCCTTATTACTACCGTGGTTCCAGACACACACAAGGGGGAACTCACCCGCATACTACCCACTGTCCCACTCCCCTCTATAAAGGCCCCCTTCTAACAGGGAAAACCCAAGGTACCCAGATGTCGACAGAGACCTCTGTAGGGAGAGGCAGGGAGTAGCAGACCTGGGTTCTCTGGGCCTGCATACTATACTTACTATATGCCAGCGAGTTTCAAGCAGGTTCAAATCGGTCTTCGTCAATGCTCATTCAATACCATGTACAATGCTACTATGAGCGGTCCCTTCAGTTCTAGCAGGGTCCGTCTATAGGTGCGACCGTATCTGCGACTATTTACCTCAGTGAGAATTCCCACAGACAAGATAGCCCTGTGCATTACCCCAAGCATTAACTCTGGATCATATCTGCGACTATTTACCTCGGTAAGAATTCCCACAGACAGAAGTCCTGAATGCACAACACAGGTTCATACATGTGCCCTCTGGACTGCCTATATGTGCCCTCTGGACTTCCCTTTCCCCCTCCCCCTCTGGACTCCCCTTTCCCCCCTCTGTCTCCCCATGGAGTGACAACCAGAAGAGACCTGAGATCATCGGAACGACGAGCAAACCAAACCCTGAACAGCCCTCCCCCAAGCCCATTCCACACGGGCAGTGTGTGTATAAACTTACCATGCGTCATCCCAAGGGGGGTGTGCAAATGGCTGGGCGCTATGAAAGCGCCAAACAGTGGACGTGCGTGAGGCGGCAGAGTTTTGAACGCAACCTCAAACTACAATGTGTTCGAGCCGGTGCTCTAAACACTGAGACACCAGGCCGTTCGCGAGAATACGGCTTTCGTTGTCGTTCTTTTTCTTTTTCTTTTCCCCTTTCGACGGAAGTTATGTATGGTGGAGGGTCACTGTGATTTCTGTTACGTCTTGGGCCTTGCAACTTCTTTTTTCCTTTCTTTTTTCCTTTCCCCTTTTGTTGGCATAAGCTGTGTAATCAACAAGTAATCGTGGAAGGTCGCGGTACAATTTGTTATGTCTTGGACGGTTGGACCTCGCATCTGTCTTCCGAGTGAAAGTTTATAATCATTTATTCATTTATTCATTCATTGCTTTAAACAGGATTTCAAGGATGGCAAGGTTGACACAGCATTCATTCCAAAACATGAAGAAGAGTTGTCGACGGTGAGTACCTCAGCTTGCCCTTTTGCCCCCCCCCCCCTCTCTCTCTCTCTCTCGCGCGCGCGCGCGCTCGCGCGCGTGCGTGCCCATCTAAGTCTCCGTGCTCTCTCTCTCTCTCTCTCTCTCTCTCTCTCTCTCTCTCTCTCTCTCTCTCTCTCTCTCTCTCTCGCGCGCGCGCGCGCGCCCATCTAAGTCTCCGTGCAATGATTGTGTTTCAGCTTTTTTGAGGGAAAAAAATGTCAATGGCATTGAGATAGCGTTTTTGAACGAACTGGCCTCGGGAAATTTCATGAATGTCGTCATGCATTTTGTTGACTTGTGTAAGACAGACTACTAAGACTATAAGGAATCATGCCAATAAGATTACAAAACAACAAAAAAGTAAAAGTGACACGCGATTGAAAATTTGTACAATCAACATGTCAAATAAATGAGACGTTGTAGAAGTCCACAACGAGACGGACACAGAGGAATATGAGTAAATTCTTACCCATCTGTTCCCATCGGAATAATTTGATCTGTGTTTCAAGTTAAAACAGTTGATAGGTGTATGAACTGAGCTAGGCCAGTCTGTGATTGTGTGTCCACTTTCTTTTGTTGTGTTTTTGCACTTTGATTATGACCTCAACGCCTCTTTTTTTTTCTCTAACTAGCCCCAGGTTGCACCACTGCCTTGCCTGCACAGTGGCGTGTTTGCCCTACAACTTCGCTTGCGCTAGGATCTGCCTGTGTGACAGCCTTGCCGGCTCTTTGAGCTTGCTTTTCCTGTGACCTCACTTTGTCCATAACCTCGTCTTGGTTCCTGGCCTTGTGACTGGCCTCCTGTTGTGCCGTGCAATCTGGCCCACTGTCATGGCTGGGCCAGCCCTGGTGACCTGGATTGCCCTTTCCATCCTCTCTGCCTCGTCTTCATGAGCTCTTCTCCTTGCATGCCCCTAAGCTAGCTACCTCGACGTTCCAGTGACCTCACCACCTCGTCTCCCTGCTACCTTGCCCGCCTCGCCTCGCTTCAACTTGGCCCTCCCTTGACCTCAACCCCCCCCTTGCTATCTCTCCTGCCCTTATGGCCTCACCCGCGCCCGGAGCATGGTGTGCCCCCGAGCTCCCCTGCATCGGACTTGCCTTATGTCTTCCCTTGCGAGAAGCCGCGACCCACTTGCCCATGTGACTGCGGCTTCCGCTGCAATCTCTCCTGCCTCTCCTTAACGGCCTCTTCTTCCAGAGCTGCTTTTACTCATTACGTGTCTGGCTTCGTGAGCCCTCATCGGTATCCTCTACCTCTGCGCTCTCCATTCTCTCTGCTTCTCAGCCTACCTGGTCCCTGGCGACTTTGCCCATGGCCGTCCCTCTCCATTTGGTGGAGTCCCAGCTACACTCCTGAACTGTTGAGAAACAGACCTGAATTTGAATCTTGATGGAATCGCATGAGTAAAATAACCTGAATGATCTGAGACCGGCCAGTTCGACGACAACAAAAAGAATGTATGTCCCACTAAAACGTGAAAATACAACCCCCCTCTGCATCGCCCCGCCCCTCTGGGGAGAGGTGCTCATGGCACCTGGTCATTGATCAATGGGGCCAGCAATTGTATCTAGCTGTATCTCTGTGAAGGACCCAAGTCTGCTGAGGCCTCCATACCCCTGTGCA